ATTTATATATCTTTATACACAGAACGCAATAAAAACAAAATGTATACAAAATGTATACATGATGTATATTACTTGTACTAGTGAAGGGGAAAATAACAACGAGGGCCCACCAATCATGAAGGAAGAAGTTATCAAGGCACTACGAAAGATGAAGAATGGGAAAGCTGCAGGACCGGACAACATTACCACAGAGATGATTAAAGCTTTAGAAGACTTTGGTATCACCACACTGACAAAACTTCTTAACAACATGACTCTATGACCCAGGACATATTCCGTCAGACTTGTCAAAATCTATCTTCATAGCTTTACCAAAGAAACCTAATACTAATGCAAACGAATGTGAAACACATCGTACCATCAGCCTCATGAGCCACATAACAAAAAATGCTACTCAGAATAATTATGATGAGAATACGAAATAAAATTCTCCCAGAAATAGCCCAAGAACAATGTGGATTTATTGAAGGCAAAGGCACTGTAAATGCCATATATGTCATCAGAACAACAATAGAACGTGCCCTAGAAGTTCAGAAAGATCTTCATTTATGTTATATAGACTACACCAAGGCATTCGACAAAGTTAGACACGACAAGATCATCGACATGCTGGAAGTCCGCAATATTGACGGGAAGGACTAAAGATTATCAAGAACATGTACTGGGATCAAACCGCTGCTATGAGAATAGAAAATGATATCAGCGAATACATACAGATTAAAAGAGGAGTCAGACAGGGATGTGTACCTTCTCCAGACTTGTTCTCCCTGTATAGTGAAAATATCATGAGGAGACACATAGAAGAAATGCCAGGTATCTCGATACACGGACATAATGTAAACGATCTAAGATATGCAGATAACACAGTTCTAATAGCAGAAGATGAAGAACACCTGCAGAATCTATTAAATGTCATTGTACGAGAGAGTGACAACATGGGCTTAAGCCTAAACATCAAGAAAACCAAAACAATGGTGATATGCAGAAAAACTCCAACCCCAACA